AGCGGGCCCAGCTGGGACGGAAGTCCTTCTGATTCTCGAGGAGCAGCTTGGCATTCTGGTGAGAGGCCAGGTTGACACGAGGCTCAATGAAGGCGGGTTTGTCCCAGGAGTAATCCTGCTCACGACCCAGGCTCTTCATGATGTTGCGGTTCTCGCTGGGGATGGTCATAGGGTAGTGAGCGTAGATGGAGTCAGACTTGTAGTGGTTGGGGAAGGCGCGCGTGGCCAGCTTATAGAAGATACAACCCTGGTTGATGTTGAGGTCGTAGCGGCACTCGTTGTAACCCCAGTTGGTTAGGTTACGGGGATTGTAGTCAATAGTGTAGTGACGGTCACCACGGACAAGGGCGACGGCATCCGACAGCACTGCACGGGAGATGGTGTAGGTCGGAGCGATACCGACACCAGGGATCATGGGCTCCTTAGCCTCCTCGGAGACGATACCGGGATAAAGCTCAATGTAATCGGGGTGGTCGTAGAGGTGACGGAGAGTATTAGCGATCTCGGGGTTGGAGTTGACTTCTTCGAAAGTATCGTAAGTCTTCAGGCCGAAGTGCTTACGGAACTCGTTGAGAGAACCGACATTCCATCTACGCGAAGCCTCGATGCCGAGGATCTCGATAGAGCGCATGGCCTTGGGTACGTTTCGCGGACCGAAAGAGCTGGCCACATCCTCGGTAGCACGAGTCAGAATGTTCACAAGCTCTCCATCATCGAAGTACCCATCTGCATTACGCTTCAGGTGGCCGAAGGTACGCTTTGCGGGGTCAGCCTCAAGCATACCCTTAACCTTCTTCATACCCATCAGTAGCTCAGGCATGCTGACCTGCTCGGCAGGCTTGCCCATAAGGTCATGGTAGATCTGCTCAATCCACTTCTCGTCACCCTGACTGATGGTCGAGTGCCAACGGTAGGCCAAGTTAAACTCGACAGAGCACTGGTTGCCGAGACCGGAAGGAGTGGCATCAGCCTTCTCAGCCTGTGCACGGGGATCCAAGCACCAAGTAGAGTTGGTGCGGTTCAGGTTGACAATGGTGCGCAGGTAATCATACAGAGTAATGTTGATGTACAGACCGCAAGTGATAAGACGACCGGTCTGGAACAGGTCCTCATCACGCTTGGCCCAGGCAGCCTTGGTCTCCTCCTCGGACAGATTATTGCAGGGCGTGCTGAAGCGACCATTCTCGTTGATCTCAGCCAGCTGGGTAACAATGTGGTTGTGGAAACGGTTGAGCATAACCAGCAGAACACCGCAGGCAGGAGGAAGGGCTTGCAGACGACCCTCGGAGAAGCAATCGGGCTTCAGCTTTCCGTTTTCGTGGGAACGGATCTTATCCTGTTGTTCCTTGACATCGCCATACAGAATGGACAAGTCAAGGTAAGCAGAGGTGTTGTTAATGTGCTGTTGGCTGTAGTCGGTCTGGAAGATATCTATGTACGGAACCAGCATTTTAGCGCCTGAATCGTAACTTTCCGTGGAACTGACTTACCGTGAATAATCAGAGAGGCCCAGTCGAAGAAAACACTGGAGACTTTGTTGGGGTGCGGGGTGAACTCCTGACGAGCATAGAGGGTATCAAAAATCAGACCGGCGTCGGGCAATCCGCTGGGCTGGATGGTCAGGGGAGGAATGGTGCGGCAGTACGGGGTATTAGCAGCTCCCAGCCACGGGAGAGTAGGGTTGTTATTTGAGCCGTCAGCTGAGCGGTACTTGTACTCATCTCCCATGTAACTATTCACAGCGTTAGCGCGCAATTGCAAAACAGCAGTCTCCAACTGGGAATTTCTTACGAGAGAGGCGGGTGAGGGATTGAGTTCCATAGCTCATCCAGGAATACACTGGTGAGCTCGGTACGGGTCTTGGAGTTACCGGGCAAGTCCGCGACCATCTGGATTATGCGCTCCATCAAGTAGGTCTTGTCATCAATAATTCCGCCGGAGGCTTTGCTCGCAATCAGGTCTTTGACAGTGCCGACGTCGCGGAATCCTAGCGCCTTGATGTCATTGATGAGACCGGATGACTTGTCGTGCTTCAAGTAGGCGCCGTCACTGGTTTGATTGGGCAGAGGCTCCTGCGAAGCGTGAATTGCTTGCGCATATTTGTCGAATACAGCAACAACCTCGGAGCGCTTCACGACATGGTTCTCCTCCTTATGAGAGGTGGACTTCCGAGTTGGCGAGACTTTGGAGGCGCGCTTGCTGCTCTTGTCCGTACTCTTGGGCTCGGAGTCACCATTGGAATCCTTGGAATCCTTGGGGTCTTTGGAGTCCTTCGACCGCTTGAACTGAGTAGAGATTCTCCTCAACATCGTGAAGAATGATGACACAAACAAGTCAAGAGGAGAAAGGAGGTTAAAGAAGAAACACCAAGTGGCTAGGGAAGGCCGGGGGAATAAATCAGAAGCTCGACCGGTGCTCTTTAAAACGAGCTGTGCGGGCGACGCAAGTCAGCTGCAGGACTGTGGAGCGTCCCAAAGGTGGCGGATTTGCTATCACCAATAGCTGATTGACTGGAGCAGCATTCAAATTGACAGAGAGCATTAGGTCGATCTCTCTTCGGGCCTGAACCTAGTTTCTGTTGCAAATATCCCAGCCCCGCATGGTACAAGCTCAATTCCCCAGTGGAGTCTCTACACGGAGTACTAGTGGTCTCAATATAGTAACTGATCACCATTCATCACCTTGGATAGCTGAAAAGGGGGCATCTGCTCTAGTGTATCCGAATACCCGAATGCTCTGCTAGGTAGGAATTATACGATTCAATATACGGAGTAAAGTAATACGACCAAGGTTGTGACCTGCATGGCATAACCCGGAATTGAGCTGAAATGCAAATTTTAAATCAAGAGCTATACATCACCAGCTCGGAAAGAGCAGGTAATAAACCAATGACGATGAGAATGCTATAATACCGGACTATAATCAGCGGTGTACACTTCTATACGAGGTACTCCGTGCTTCCTAGTTGTACTCCTGTACTCCGTACACAAGTGCAAGAGGATCTCAAGATTGGATCGACACCAAGTGGGGGATGGATGTTCGGGATTTTGCTCTGCATCTTCGAAAGAGAAATTTCCATGTACTCGGTGGCTGGCTGGAGGTGTGCTGTCATACTATCTCATAATTTGCTCCAATTAGGGTTGTTGTGTAGGACATGGGATGTTGCTTGTCCATACTCCGTACTGATAGCAGTTGGGATGCAAGGAAGGTCCCTACAAGATAATTTGATAGAAGCAAAAAGTGTCCTTAAAAATTTTTGCAAGAAAAAAAGAAATGTAACTCTTTCATTTTTCATTTGTTATGATCGTCGCAGGCCCACCTGTTCACCCACTTCCAGATGGACTATGGATTTTAAGTGGCGAACGGGCCAACCTGCACGAACCATAATGTGTCGTCTGTCATTGGCAGCTGAATCTGCCAGTCATCACGAATCATTCAATTATTCAGAATACGATCCATCTCAGGCCATCCACTTTCAGAGTCATAGCTTTTGTCTCCCGATCCTCGTAGCGTTTTCCTCAAATTGGAGTTCCCACGCGGAAATGAGAGATTCTCCCTTTTTCCCTTTTTCCCCAAGGTTTGAAAAAAGCGAAGACGACCAACAACTCCATACCTAGGTAGGACCCTTGGAACCTTGGAAGTAGGAGTGTTTCTTTTGGAGACGACATCTCAATGTCATAGTTGATAATGAACCATGGGTTGACCATTGCATGGGCCGCTCCCGGATACTCTCTAACCATGGATGGATAATCTATGCATAAACCTGAATTCGATTCACAATCCATAGTTCAGTAAGTCCGAATAGTCCATTGGCTTCCTTTTTTTTTTCTTCCGGGATATGAGAAAAAGGCTGGAGGCCCACTCTTCTTCCCCTTGCAGTCCGTGTTTCGACAATCCCTTTCAGCTTAGAACAGTTCCACGCGGGATGACTTGTGAATTTTCATAATTTCAGTAATTCCAGATGTGATGTGACTTCTAAGTTTATTATATGTACTCCATACTCCGTAATCATTGCAATCACACCTGGGCAGTGACACCTCGACAAACTTTCTATGGTCTTTGTAGTTGAAAAGGAAAAAATGACAGCAAAAACAGATCCACCAGTGGGTCACGACCCAGGGCCGTGCAGGATCATGAACCAATGCGTATCGATACAGTGCATACAGTGCTTTCGCCAAAGTTAGACTGGATCGCTCGAAACCGAACCGATCTGCTGGAACAAATTCAATAGGAACTCCCCCTCATACCCCTTTCACCTCCTGGACCATTACCAGAAGCCGTGTGGGGAATGATCAACAATAATGTCCCGAACACCTCCTTTCAAAACTTCATAGGCCCAATGAGTACTCGTGTACTCCGTATGGAGGAGCAAAGGCCTGCACGTCTCTCTTTCGGTCTCCGTTCAGCTGCATCTCAAAGGAATTCCAAATTCATGCGAATCGCATTCAGACACTACCCAGGTCCGGGCCGCGCAACCCGCATCTCTCGTGCAGAGGTTCTCGAGTCAGGTTCAGCCCTGTTCGCAATGAACTCACATATTCAGCAATATTTACCGGCGCGTCTCCATTGGGTAGAAGCACCTCCGTTAGAGCGAAGCAGGGTGTTGTGTAACCTGCACCTGCACCCGTGGACGCGAGTCAGTGATCATTTACAGAAAAACATCCTAAAAGTAAAACAGAACGACTCATGTTGTGATGGGAATGTGCCAAGTCTGAAGGGCCCACCCGTCAGCCCGCTCCGGTTTGACGTATTCTTTCCACAAACCTGCAGTGATCGGCTAGTGGAGTTGGTTGTATATTATTATCTTGCCAGCCCCCCTTCTGTGCCGGGTCCGACGTAGGGCGCTGATTCGTGTAATACGAGCTGTATCCAGCTGTATGGAAGCGTCATCCCACTTTTGAGCCTTCCCCCTTCTCGTATATAGCCCCCTTCAGGCCTTATCAGGTGTGCCTGAAGTTTCGAATCTTTTCTGACCGACTGCATTGCCATTCAGTGGAATCATGGCTTATGGGTATGAACAACAAGGCCCGCCGGGCGTGCAAAAGCAGTTTGTGCTATGCTTTGACGGTACGGGAAACAAATTCGCCGGCGACGAGTCAGATAGCAATGTGCTCAAGATCTTTCGCGTAAGTGGGACCGCGAGCCAAGCGTTTGAACCGGTGCTAAGAAATCGCAGATGCTTGACCGCAGCAAAAGCCACCAGTATCATTACTACCAGCCGGGCATTGGCACATATGTGACTTCAAAGTCGCTGAGTAGCCATGGCCGAATCCAGCGTATCAAGTCCGCCTATCTAAAGGCCAAGGACTCGGCTGTCGGGTGTTCCTTTGCCGAGCATGTCATGGGCGGCTACAAGTTCTTGATGCGGTATTATTCCCCTGGCGATGAGATCTACTTCATCGGCTTTAGTCGTGGTGCATACATCGCGCGATTTCTGGCGGAGATGTTGGACTTTATCGGTTTACTCGAAGCAGGAAACGAGGAGCTGGTCCGGTTTGCGTGGAAGACGTTTGCCAAGTGGCAGCAGCGGTCCTACGACTCGGCAGACGAGCGAAAAGAGAAGGAGAAGCTCTTCAAATTCATGAAGGCCTTCCGGGAGACGTTCAGTCGCCCTATCTCGCGTATCCGTTTCATGGGGCTCTTCGACACCGTCAACAGTGTGCCGCGCTTCGAGTCCGCGTGGATGCAGCGTACCAAGTTTCCTTACACAGCACGCAGCTCGGCCAGGGTTATTCGCCATGCTGTGGGTATTGACGAGCGCCGCGCGAAATTCCGTCAAGATCTAATCTCTGAGGTGCGTCCAAAGGAGAAGAAGAAACACCACCACGGCCGCCCCCATATGCCCAAGAACCATCTGCACCTCTTCCACCATGAGGACAAAGAGAAGCCTCAGGAGGATCTCCCAGACAACGTTCCTGCCATTCAGGTCAACGGCAACCCCGAGGAAGAACAGCAGGAAGGAGAGAAGGCCAAGCCTGGATTCAACGTCCCCAACCATGGGCCCAGTGCTGGAGAGACATACTACCACGCTGGGCGTCGTGCCTCGCCCCAAGCTTCGCAACCGACCTCCCGCGCTGGTAGCGCAAACGGGAGAATGCAGCCTGGCGCGTATCGCGCACGCTCTCCCCGACGCAGGCTCGCAGTGCCGGACGATTCCCGCTCAGTGCGAAGCATAGAGTCCTGCCACAGCCTGCACTCCAACACCCTCTCAGTGCAAATTCCCGTAGCGGAGGCCGATGAAAGCGATGACGAAGAGGCGCAAGACATCCACGAAGTCTGGTTCCCGGGCTGCCACGCAGACATCGGCGGTGGATGGAAGCTCTCCCACGGCGAGACATGGGCGCTCAGTCACGCGCCGCTTGTGTGGATGACACAGGAAGCGCAAAAGGCCGGACTCGAGCTGGATGAAGGCAAGATGAAGCATTTCCAGTGTCTAGAGGAGTTTGATGGTGATTATAGTCCCATCCGGGAAGAGATCAATACCCAGCGGCCGACTCGGTGCGTTGAGCCTCATGCCGACAACAACGATGCTTTCCGCCTCATGCCTAATGACAAGGAGCGCTCTGCTGCGAGTTACGACTTCTGGCATGCGCTGCGTGAATCCAGTACGAAGGGCGTGCTGCACGACTGCCTGATGTTCAATCAGGGTATTCCGGCTATGTCGGTTATCACGTGGCGCATTATGGAATGGTTGCCGTTCCGTCGTATGGATCTGCAGCCGGATGGGTCGTGGAAGCCGATTAGTTGGCCGTTGCCTCGTGGTGAGGTGCGGGATATTCCGGATAATGCTGAATTCCACGTTTCTGCTATCCGGCGTATGGAGGCGGATCCCAAATACCGTCCTGGTAATGCGATTGTTGGTGGTGGCGGTCGTGGTATGCGTGTGGCACCAGGGCGGTATGGTAAGGGTGACTGGGTGGTGTTTAAGCATGAAGGTGATTTGGTGCGGGAGACTTATGTCCGCCAGGACAGCTTAAACAAGGACAGCTCAAAGTGCAAGGAGGGTGAGAAGAAGACGAACTCTTGAGATATCCCTGTCATTCTTTTTCTTTCTTTTGTTTATATGCCATTGCCTTGGCTTTTTTCTATACTATCTAATAGGTAATGGGGATAGAGGAATTCTATGAAATCATATATATCTGATTGACATCATCTAGAGCTGTCTAGAATCCTGCGGTCGAGATCAAAATTGCCTTCAATGACTTAGTCTCTTGGTATATTCCAAGTCTGTGTGCATATAGTAGACCGAGCAAAGACAGAATGCTCGGAGCTGGTCGAATCGAACAATGGTAATATTTAACATAGACACCTAGGTCCATGTATTATCCCATGTGGATGCAGGGATGTCTTCGCCTTAAAATGGCTTGGCAGAGTTTGTCCATCTTATCTGTGGATATCACTTACTCTGGTCGGGGCCTGGTTATACATTGTCGTTGGGCCTATATACAAATCGTAGATATAAGCCCGTCGTGTCTACTCTGAACTTCTATAGCTCAGTATTATCCTTCCGGAGATATCACGAAGACAAGAACATCTCAAAGAGACATCTAAAAAGGCATCTAAAGGACATCAGATTCCTATAGTGGGAATAGCTTCATTTTACCTATTTTAAAAGGGGTTCTTGAGAACTTCGGTACTTTACTTATTAAGGTCTCTGCCGTAGTAAATCAGGTATCTCGATGTCCTGTCAGTTCAAAACTATGCCTAATTGGTATATATCCCATGAAGATCGGGCATGCGCCTGTTGGCCGCTATGCCCGTTCGCACCCTTTCTCACATCTTTGACCTTCACCATTA